AACTCATTGTGCGAGCTCCCGCGTTTTGTTTTGAAGTAATCGGTCACGTGAAAGAGAAGCGTGGCTTGACGTGTGTCAATCGTAACACAGATGGATGTAACGGAGAATCCGGTAGTTTTTCAAAATAAAACATCTTTCGTACTCCGAAATAAATAAAACGGAATTAAGGCAAGTTCTTTCTGTGCGGCCCGGTACCAAATGCCCGGCGGACAGGTACCGGTCCGCGGACCGGCGGTTGGGGACCCCTGATTTAAAGCATCTCTTTGTCCATCTGTTAATCAGATGGCCAAAGAGGCCAAAAGTAGCCACACCTGTTGGTGTTTTGTGGCATGCCGGGAAACAGTGTCTGGATTGTCGGCCATTTTGGCGTGCACCACAGGCTCCTGGAACTGATTGGAACGTCTATCCACTACACATCAACTTTTTTTTCATCTCATCTTCCGAACCGCTTCATCCCCCGTGGGATTCCACATTATATATACAGTCAAACCTCGGGTTTTGTACTTCATCCGTTCCAGAAGACTGTTCGAAAACCGAAACCATGTTTCCCATTCGAATCAATGTAAGAATTTTTAATCCGTTCCAAGTCAAGAAAACAACTTTTTTTTTAAACCACTTTTTTTTTACAATTTTACACCATAGTGGTGGTGGACCCCATGTGTAAAATACTGTCCAAACAAACTGTTTTATTTTCACCAATTTTAACATTGTAACAAAAGTTTAAGGTCTCTCTCTCGTGGTGGTGGACCCCAAAAAGCACGCAAGAGGGAGGAGTATGTTGTACTTGAAGTGTATTGAAACAGAAAACTAAATCCAAAACAAACAGTCCAAAGTAGCAAACAAAAAGCACAACTGAAGCTAAAACATAATGACCAAAACATGACTGAAACAAACATGACAGTAGCAAAGAGCAACAATGACCCGACAATGAGTGGTCGGGCTGGGAGTCCTTTTAAAGCACTAATTACCTAATGACCAACAGGTGTGCAGCTGCAGGGGAAGCCCTACAGTGCCACCTGTTGGTCCCAAACCGAATCATGACAGTACCCCTCTTTCAAGGGACGGATCCCAGATGTCCCAAAGTTGTCCAGAAGGCTTGCCTCGCCGGGAAACGGGAACTAAAAGTGACGGCGACCTTCGCCTCGCCGGAGAACAAGAACAAAAGTGACGGGGACCTTCGCCTCGCCGGAGAACAGGAACAAAAATGACGGCGACCTTCGCCTCGCCAGGGAACAGGAACAAAAGCGACGGCAATCTTTCGCCTCGCCAGGGAACAGGAACAAAAGCGACGGCAATCCTTTGGCTGGGCGTGGCCTGACGTGGACGGAGCGCGACGTACCGGGGGTCATGGGACAGCCGGACGGGAACAGGGGCTCGGCCTGACGTGGGCGTGGACGTGGCATGGCTCGTCGTCGACGTGAATGTGACTCAGCTCGAACAGACACGTGACGAGCCTCGGCTCAACGTGTACGTGGACGGGGCTCGGCCCACTGTAGACGTGGCTTGACGAGACGAAAACAGGACAGACGCATCACCAGCACTGCCTGAAGGGGAAAAGGGTGTCGGCCGCAGACGTGCTCCGCCAGGCACATGATGGAATTGGAACCAGTCCTTAGTACCTGTGGGGTCCTGTTGGTCGGGTCATTCTGTCACGTTGCGAGGTGGTGGTGGACCC